CTGTGCTTAACCAGAATCAAATCTTTCCTTAACTTGAAATCCTGTGTATTCTTCTAGAAGTCATATAAGTATAGGTTTTTTATTTAGACCTATGAACTTTGCATAGTTTGGGAGGTCTGTTTTTGTCATATGAATTTTGCAAAGACTGTCTTTCTCCATTTAATTGCTTTTATATATTTGCTGAAAATAACTATGTAATGTTATTTTCAGCAAATATATAAAAGCAATTAAAAAAACTATATTTTTGCAATATTCTGCAACCCCCATTTTGTGGCTTGTCCTTTCACTTTTTTGATGATGCCCTTTGAAGCACAAAAGTTTTTAATTTTGATGAAGTCTATTTTATATATTTTTTTTCCTTGGGTCATTGTGTTTGGTATAATAGCTAAGAAATCGTTGCCTAATCCATGCTCATAAAGATTTATTCCTATGTTTTCTTCTGAGAGCTTTATAGCCATAGTTTTCATATTTAGATCTCTGAACCACTTTGAATTAACTTTTTTTTGTATATGATGTAAGGTAGGATTCAATTTCATATTTTGCATACAGGTATCCAGTTATCCCAGCATCATTTGTTGGAAGGACAAATGATTTGTACTCCATACACTGGTCTCCTTCAGTCTTATGTATGTCCTTGTCTTAGATAGTTTGGGTCACTACAGCAGAATACCATTCTTTCTCCCTTCAATTATCTTGGTACCTTTGTCAAAAATCAACTCCATAAGTATAAGCTTTTATCTCTGCAGTCTAAATCCTGTTCCATTGACCTATATTTCTATACTTATGCCAGTACTGTACTGTCTTAATTACTGTAGCTTTATAGTAAGTCTTGAAATTGAATAGTATGAGTCTTACAACTTAGTCCATTTTTTTCAAATTATCTTGGCTTTTCTCATTGCTGATATGGTGATTGTGTTGCCTCTATAGATCATTGACATCTGAACAACATTATGTTTTCCAATATATTGTACATCTCTCCATTTTTATTTATGTATATTAAAATTTCTTTTATCAGTATTCTATTGCCCTCAGTAAACTGGTCTTGCACATATTATGTTAGATTATACTATTCATGTTTTTAGGTGCTATTTAAATGTTACTTTTAAAAATTTCACTTTCAATTGTTCATTACTCATGTAGAGATACAGTTGCTGTTTGTATATTGATCTTATATACTATTTTACAGCTTTTGTGTTGCTGTGACTAATATACTTGTCAAGTGCAACAAAGGGAAGGAAAAGTTTATATTGGTTCACAGTTTCAGAGGTTCAGTCCATCATCAAGTGACTCAATAGCTCTGGGCCTGAGTTTTGGTAGAGCATCATGGTGGAAGGGCATGGTGGAGGAAAGCAGCTCAGGACGTGGTAACAAGGAAGCAGAGAGACCTCTGCTCACCAGGGACAACATATAAACTCCAAAGCCCTAACCTCAGTGACCTGATGCCTCCAGCCACACCCTACCTTCCTACAATTACCACCCAGTTAATACGTATCAGTGGATTAATCCACTGATTAGGTTAAGGCTTTCATAATCATTTCGCCTTTGGATATTCTTGCATTGTTTCTCATACATGAGCATTGTATATAAGTGACATATACTATGAATTTTCCAAACTCACATATTAATTCTGATAGGTGTTCTATAGATTCTTTAGTTTTTCTGCATAGACGATCATGACGTCTACAAATAGATAACAGTTTTCTTTCTTTCTTCCTTTCTTTCTTTCTTCCTTCCTTCCTTCCTTCCTTCCTTCCTTCCTTCCTTCCTTCCTTCCTTCCTTCCTTTCTTTCTTTCTTTCTTTCTTTCTTTCTTTCTTTCTTTCTTTCCAATCTCTGTGTCTTTTCTTTCTCTCTCCTAATTTATTGCATAGTCTAGGACCTCCACTATGAATATTGAATAGGAGTAGTGCAAGGGAACAACCTTGCATTGTTTCCAGTCATAAAGGAAAACAATTCTGTCTTTCCCCATTAAACATGATCTTAGCTGTAGGTTTTTGTCTATGTTGTTGATTAAGGGATTTTTCTTTTATTCCTAATTTGGTTTAATTTTTAAAATTTTGAATACATGTTGCATTTTGTCAAATGCTTTTTTAGTAACTATTGAAATACCATTTATTTTTTTCTAACTTAGTTTATTAATATAGAGAAATGTATCGATTACATTTTGAAGTTGAACCAGCCTTCATTCCTGGAATAAACCCCACTGGTCAGATTGTGATTCTCGTGATGCAGTGTCCTGTTTGAGGCTAGCTCCTCATTTTCTGCTTCCCATTTTCTCCTCAGTCATGTTTTTATCATCCGGCACCTCTCTCTCCCCTTTCACACAGATTTCCCTAACTAGAACATCCTTCAGCCTTCACCTCATCTATTTCTCTCTCATTACTCCTTGCTTATTAGTCCCCCAGTGACTTCCCAGAGGCCTGTTCTCAGGGTCTCACTTCATATTTTCTGCACTGGTTAACACTGCAAGCCACAGTCTCTTTCTTCCTAGACTTTCCCCTCCCTGGTCTCAGGGGTTCTTCCTTCTGAGTCTGCCCTGCGCTGCCAGGCCTCCAATCTCAGGCAGGTCTTTGCTTCCTCATGCTTCTGGCTTTTGTGATACCTCCCACTTCCTTTGCTTTTTCCCCTCAATGAATCTTCCCTGAAGCCTTAGCCTCATTCTGCCACCCTCAGTTCAACAGTCTTTCATGACTCCCAGGGCTTAGAATTGTGCCAGGTTCTCCCAGATTGATCCACATCTTCTCTCCTTGGACTTCTGGAGAATCAGAGCTCCTGGATTATTTATTCAAGGGCACAGAGTAACCTGGGGACATGTGCTTCCCATGCCTGCCAGTCTCCCTACACATCCCCCTTACAGAGAGTCCAGCACCCCTGGGCCTGCCCAGGAGTCTCCTCATCACCCCTCCACTTTCCTCCCCCAGGTCAGCACCCCTTTTTTGTATGGCGTGTTGATTTGTACTCCATACACTAGTCTCCTTCTGTCTTATCATGTATGTCCTTGTCTTAAATAGTTTGGGTCACTACAGCAGAATACCATAGGCTAGGTGGCTTGTAAACAATAGAAATTTATTTCTCACAGTTCTGGAGGCTGGGTGCCAGCATGGCTGGGTTATAGGGAAGACCCTCTTCCAGGTTGCTGTCTTTACATATCCTAACATGGTGGAGAGCAGAGAGCAAGAAAGCAAGCTCTAGAGTCCCTTTTTGTAAGGGCACTAATCCCTTTCTCTTGAGGGCTCCACCCTGGTGGCCTAATCACCTCCCAAGTCCCCACCTCCATTAGGCATTTGTATTTTAACATATGAACTCTGAGGAAACATCAGCATCCTATAACATTCAAGTGGAAGGAAAGTTCCTGTAGAGCAGGGGTCTTCTTCCCTTGTCTATCAGGTGTTCCTATGCCATGCGTTAAAATGATGGTGGTCAGAGATCGTGGGAGTTTCAAGGCAGCAACAGTAGCCTGCAGAATTGTCAAGCTGGTCACCTGAGCTGGCCCTCTCCCTGCAGGCACATCCAGGAGGTATGTGGGGTCCAGCGCATCCTTCAGTTGGAATAGGGCCAGACTTTGAAATAGGAGAAAAAAAGTCTCTTTCTCTTCATGGACCAGGGCAGACACACTCTAGGATGTCTTTAGGGAAAGATGGTACCACAGCCAGCATGGAGCTCATGTGGCCTTCTGGCCTTGGCTGGCAGAGGACCTGATGAGAGTCAGGACCACCTCAGAGCTGTGCTAAGGAAAGCCCTCAGGTAGAATGTGGACGTGAGGTAAAGAAAGAACTTGGAGATTCCAGAGACAAAGTGGTCCCGAGCAAAGAGTGTGGGAGTCATCTGTTAGTCATTGCCAGGTGGCTAAAGTCCCAGAGGAAGGTCCTTTGGTATCCAAATGGACAAGTACCTTCCTCACTCCAAGACGGGGGCTCAACAAAGGCTTTCCAGAGGGTGGAGGGGCCACAGTGGAAGGTGTGGAAGTTGATCTAGGCTTAGTCCTCTGAGGTTGGGACGAAGAACCCAGTTCTGAAGAGGGGTCTGAGGTGCAGCTCAAAGCCCCCACAGTCTGGAGGCCTGCGCATCTTCAGAGGCTTGTCTCATGTGGGCCCGAGACCAGAGAGGGACCAGGATCAGCATGCTCAGATACCCAGGAGCTCTACCTGCCAGAGACATCTTGACTAAACATTGGCACACTGGGCTCTGAAATGTGCAACACAAACTTGCCTTTGTGGGTTCTATTGTATTGTCTTGCTTTCTCTTAGCTTTTCAGTAAATATTCCTTTCAAAAGAATCCCCGCCTCGGCTCTGCAGACCAGAAGGGGTGGTGGTGTTTTTCCACACACACATCTCAGTCAGCACAGAGAAGGGGATCCCTGAGGAGCAGGGGAGATGGCAGACGCCTGCCAGCTGGTATGAGGGGCTGTCAGGGAGCCTTGGTGCTGGTGCAGAGATAGAGCGGAGGCCTGGAGGTGGGGGGAGCTGAGCCCTGCTCAGGACACCAAGCCCCACTGGCAGGCACCTTGCCCACCCCCATTCCCCAGAGGGTTTAGCACATTTCTGGGAGCCTTCCTTATGTGTGGCCAGCGAGTCCTGGATTCATGGGAGCTGATCTCTGGGATAACAAGCCAGGACTTCCCTGGAGGGGCGGAAGTTTGTGCTGTTGTGGATTTCATTACCCTTTCTAACCCTCGGGGAACCTTCCTGTGGTCCCGCTGCTGCCTCCAGCAGACTTTTAAATTTTCAGTCTGATTATCCAATGATCCCTGTCCTTAGGGGACACACTCCACCACAGGCCAGCCAAGCTTGGGCCCCCCAGGACATCCGAAAGCCCAAGTGATCATGTTTGGCTGCTTAGGTGTTCGGCTGTGTGCCAGGCGTCCTTGGCATGTGTTTGCTGAGACGTGGGCCGGGGGCCGCAGACTTCAGAGCGGGGGGGCAGGGGGCGGGGATCAGGGTTGGGGCTCAGGGATCAGTGCTCCAGGCCTGAGCTTGCTGTGCTTGTCTCTCCCTCTGCAGCTCGTCTCCAATGTCCTCATTTTCTCCTGCACCAACATCGTGGGCGTCTGCACTCACTACCCGGCTGAGGTCTCCCAGAGACAGGCCTTCCAGGAGACCCGGGAGTGCATCCAGGCACGACTCCACTCGCAGCGGGAGAACCAGCAGCAGGTGAGTGAGGCCCTTCTGCCCTGCACATCCTAGGGCAGAGGAGAGGGCTGAGGCCAGCCTCCACTGAGCTGCTGAGCCAGGGCCCCGCCTACTTCCCGGACAGGGGCCCTGCCCAGGGGCAGTGTGTCCCCTGAGGGAGCCCAGCTTTCCTGTTCCTGGCTCTGTGGGAATGCTCTTGGCCTCCCTGCCCTTGCCCAGAGCCTCCTCACCCAGCTCTGTGGTTTGCCCACAAGCCAAACAGCAAGATAGCTCCTGCCTCCTTCCCTCCCGGGCCTCCCATGAGCTGGAGAGGAGAAGCAGTCAGCATCTCCAGCTCAGATTAAGGTGTTTGCCCAAGGGAGGGAAGAGGAAAAGGGGAGGGGACAGGTACTGGCAGTGCCCATGGTACCCCAACTCAGCTCTTTTTCTCCGGCCGATTCTGGGTGTGGTTGGTTCAGAAAAGGAAGACTGTCCTGGGCCAGGGAGGCAGGCCACTCAGAGGACCTCAATCACAGGACAGGCTTCCCCTAGCAAGTCTTGGACAAAGGTACTGAGGTCGGCCTCAGGGTTCTAGCTGTTCCCGTTCTGAGGGGTGGTTGTGTCACCACTGTGTCCTCTCCTGTACGTGGATCAGATGGAGACCTGGTAACCCTAGATAGTGTGGAGCTAAAATACTCCCCAACAGGAGGCCTGGGAGGGTGTAGCAACCTCAGGAGACAGAGTGGGCCTCCAGCAGGGCCATGGGTCTCCCATCACCTCTTGAACTAAGCGTAAGTTTATGAGACAAGGTTACTGCAGACCAGAGGATCCTGCCTCCCCAAGCCCTCAGACAACACCAGTGGGGCCCTTCTGTGTGCCACATGCTATGCCAGGCCCCGTGGCTGATGTGAACTTGGAAGGACACAGAGAACATGGCCAAGAGGGAAGTGGCGTGCATGCTGTGGCCACTCCAAGTGAAGAGTGGTTTCACTGCAGCACAGGTGTCTCAGTCCATCTGGTTGCATGCTGAGTGGTCCAGTGACACTCAGCCAGCCAGGTGAGGGGGCAAAGCTCCACAGTGTCTGCACATCATTCTCAGTCCCCAGTCCTTCCACTCTGCCTCTGTGGCCACTGTGTCTGAGGCCTGACTCTCCACCCACTCTTTGGCCCTGTCTGGGCTCTTGCTCTGGCCTCTTGAGGACCCTTGCTCAGCAGTGTCCTTGGAGTCCTTCCACTGACCTTTGTTGACAAGCTTACCTTGCCTTTGTCACACTGCACCCTGCTCATCTCCTAAACCCTGGCACTCATTCGAAGCCCCCATCACATCCCTGTACCAGGCCCCAACACCTCTGCCCTGAGGACTGGACATGCTCCTTCTCTTCCCATTTTGGGGAGTGGCTCTTCACATCAGGGGTTCTGTCCCTTCTCCAGGATAATTACTGCTTTACAACTCATCATAATTCACCTGCTCTGGCCCTGGCCAGGAATTTAGGGGAGAAAATACCTTTGACATACCATGCTCAGGGTAAGGCATTGGGAGGGCATCGCTTCCTGTGACAGGCCCTTCTCCTCCGCCATCCAGAGCAGGCCATGCAGAAAGAGCTCCTGGGTGCCATGTTATGAAGGGACTCAGAATTGTTCCCCCACTGCCCCTGCCAACACCACCCAGCCCTCGCCTCCCAAAGTAGTTATAGATGTAGGAAGGTCTCTCATGAATCTCAACAGTTTACAGCACACATGTCCCAGTCATCCAATATCACAGAATTGTCCTAAAGGACAATTTCTTTCAGCAATAATTATGTACAGAGAGTTGAGTAAATGTGAGATGGCCTTCAGTGGCCATGCTTCCTGATGCCTGGAGACGCCAGACAGACATGTGGAGAGCCACATCCTTTACTCATTTACCAGTTTTCCAAGTATAAGACCCTGAGTTGTGGCACTGGATAAGACACAGCTCCTGTCCCCAAGGAGGCCTCTCCTTGTACTCAACAAAAGGAGATGCAGCTGACAGCATTGTTGCCCAGGTAATCAGGGGCTGTATAGAGGGCAGCCCAGGACAGGGTGGGACTCTGGCAGCTGGAGCTGGACCTCCTCCCAGGGAGGAGGGAAACCCAAAGGAGAGTTAGGAACAGCACGTGAGGGCATTGATTCCAGGCGAGGGACTCATGCACAAAGGCAAGCAAAGCTCCTGGGAGCCTGCGGACCTTCCCATGTTTCTGTCTGTCTGGAGCAGGGTACAGACTTCAGTTCATGGGTTCTGGGAAGGGAGGTGGAGGGTTCCCCAAGCCAGATGGTAGAAACTTCCAGGTCAGGCTGGGGGCATAGTCTGATCCCGGAAGCTTCAGGATGCAGAGAAGGCAACGTGGTCTGGTGAATGTTGTACACAGGCACTTGCTTGCTACCTGGGAGTGCAGGTCAGAGGCAGCAAGCCTGGAGGCCAGACCTGACTCAAGGCTATTGGACCTGAAGGTGGCCTGGCTTGTGAGAGTCTGAGGTAGGGACACTGGCAAGGGTGCTTCATCAAGGAGAACTGCAACCAGTCCTGGGAGAACACAGGGAGAGGGCGAGGCACAGGAGAGGGAGGTGGATCACAGTGAGGGGTTGCAGTGCAGAACAAGGACGAATGGGTTCAGCGGGTCCAGAAGAGTCCATCCATGATGTGGTGGTGATCGGGAGAGTGCTGTGACAGAGGAAGTGTTTTGGAGAGATTGGGGCTGTATAAGCACAGGGAGGGCTTGGGAGAGTCTGTGTGGCCAGAGCCATGCCACCGCCATCCCAGAGACAGGTGAAAACTGGACATGGGCAGTGGAGAAGGACACAGAAGTGAAAGGGCAAATACATGGGCATTAACCTTGGTGCAGGAGACTGGGGGTGTCGTGGGCAAAGGTAGGGGACTTGGGAAGAAGAGTTACAGGAAAATGAAAAGGTGGGAAGGCACATCTGTTTAGGGAGATGGTGGCAAGTCATCCAGGTGGATGCTGGAGACCAGGGAACCCTGGAAGGGAGCTGGGATGTGGACACTGGAGGCCTAGCATCAGAGGAGGGAGAGGAACCTGGAAGGACAGAGCAGCAGGAGAGACTCAGTGCATAGTAAAGGACGGGAGAATGAGAGGCTGGGGCACCATGATGAAGGCCGAGGAGGAGAGAATTGGATGAGTGAGCCTGTCAGAGGGGCTGGCATGGAGGGAGGGCTGAGGAGGGCCATTGCAGAGGCCAGACTCCATGATGGCAGCAGGGCAGGCCCTGGGGGAGAACTTGGGAAGGCAGCAAAATCCAGACCCTATAACCAGCTGATAAGAGCTGCCACAGGGTGGCCTGGCCTCCTCCCCCTGCTTCTCTCCCACCTCCCCTTTGACTGATTTTGTCTCTTGGTTCAAGTCGACTTGCTTTCCCCTATCTCCTGCCTGGGCCACTGTCCCCGCATATGGATATGGAGCACTCACTCATTGTTTGGCCTTGAGGAAGGCTTCTCTGGTCATACGGGTTCTCCTCAGCCTAGGCCAGGCATCCCTGCCCAGTGCCCCCATAGTACCCCAGGCCCCAGAGACTGGAGGCTTGGAGAAGGAGTAGCCTGGCCTGGCTCTAGGCACATGGTTATGACTCCTGGCATCCAGAATGATGCCCGGCACATGACAGCTGGATGAGTCTTATGTAATGCTGTCAGTAATCCCACCCCTTTTACAGATGAGGAACCTCTTTTCGCTCAGGAAGTTCAGTAGTTTGCCCAAAGATACAGTTTCTGGTCACATCCACGTTCTAAGCCAAGGGCTCAGTCCTTGTAGGTCCACCAGGAGTGCCTTTCCCAGTGCAGCATGGTGGTAGGCCAGGGATCAGACTAGGAAGTACCCCAGGGAGATGGGACCAGAGGCTCCTGGGGACATGACTCCAGCTGTTGCCCTCCCCATGCACACAGATGCTAGCCCCCTGAACTTCAGGAGAGCCTGAGGGGTCTTCCAGGGCCCTGCAGGCAGGGGCACAGGTGTGGATTGAGGGGACTCACCAGGCAGGTGGAGGAGTGGTGACAAACTCATCTGCTCCCCTCCCCAGGAACGGCTCCTGCTATCTGTCCTTCCCCGTCACGTTGCCATGGAGATGAAAGCAGACATCAACGCCAAGCAGGAGGACATGATGTTCCACAAGATTTACATTCAAAAACATGACAACGTGAG